GGAAAGAGTACTGAATTCTGAAGTAGAGACAAACAAAGTCAACTTTTAAAATGATGTTTGTTTTTATTTTTGTTGAAATTTCTACTTTGGAAAAATATAGAAAAGAAAAGGATGTAATCCCACTGGCCAGAGTTGACTTGACCACTCTTACCAATATGAAGCATATCCTTTTGATCTCTTTTCTATAAATATTTTTCACCTAGTGTCATAGAATTTTTCCAACTCAGAGCTTTTCTTGTACATAATTTTTCGTGGTTGTATTGTATTCTGACATGGTTGTATTAACTCTTGTTGGCCATTTAAGTTGGAGAAATGTAAACTTAACAAAAGCCAGCTTCCCTTGTTTTCTTGGACATATGTTTACAATTTGACTTACTATAAAATAGTGCATAAATCACACTTTAAGGAGTGCCTCTGCCTTTCCTTCAGTGACTTTACACAAAAACTTTTCAGAACCATGCTCAGTGGTCAAACAAGAATATTGAAGAATATTGATAGGATTCCATGCTCCAGTTTGCCATGTATGAACAAAAATAGGTGTACATTTTTTGGCACATTTGAATATTATTTGTTCCTTGGTGAAAATTGAGAGAGGAAACTAAAGACTAGGTGGGCAGAATTTCTTATCACATCTTCTTGACTTAGCTGAATGGGGCCGTTCAGAGCAGTAGAAAGTATCATACTTGGGAACCAGATGGCTCTGGGTATGAATACAGCTTTCCCACTTAAAAGCTCCCCAGCTTTGGGCTTCCCTGGTGGCACAGTGGTTAAGAATCCACCTGCCAGTGCAGGGGACACAGGTTCGAGCCCTGGTCAGGGAAGATCCCACATGCCACGGAGCAACTAAGCCCGTGTGCCACAAATACTGAGCCTGTGCTCTAGAGCCCGCGAGCCCCAACTGCTGAGCCCGCACGTCTAGAGCCCGAGCTCTACAACAAGAGAAGCCACCGCAGTGAGAAGCCCATGCACTGCAACAAAGAGTAGCCCCTGCTCACCGCAACTAGAGAAAGCCCATGTGCAGCAATGAAGACCCAACGCAGCCAAATCAATCAGTCAATATCCCCAGCCTTAGACAAGTACCATCATCTCTCCTAGCGTATGTTATGTAAAACACCACGCACAGTTCCTGCAGAATAGTGCAGTGGCTGAGGGGACAGATTCTGGGACCAGATTACCTGGCTTTCTTCAAATTCCAGCCTTGCCACTTTGTAGCTGTGTAAACTTGGGCAAGTTACTTAACCTCCCTGTGTTTCAGGTTCCTCATCTATAAAATAGGGAAAAACATAGTAACCAACTTCATAAGGTTGTTGTGAGATTTGAATCAATGCACACAAAGGATTTCTAACCTTTCTGGCACATAGTTGGTACCAGTTAATGCTTCACTGCTCTTTGCCCCTGACCTGGCCTGTAGTACCAGCCTCCAAACTGGTTTCCTCTCCACCAGGCTGCCTCCTCCTGTTTGCTTCCTGGCTGGATTCCACAGACTCTGTCTTCAACTGTAGTGGGGTCTGGGTGTGCTCAGGAAAATGGGCTCTGGCAGTGGGCTGCCACTTGTCCAGCAAGAGCGAATAGGGTCCTGTGGGGCCATGTGCCCTGCTTTAAGAAGCTGGACTCACGTATCTCGAGTAGGGTGAGGTTATTTAATGTACAGAAGGATTTTTCCTGTCAGGAAAGATTCCCCTACAGGTTTCTTTAAATAGTGACTCCTCTAGGCAGGCAAGTGTTTTACAGATCATTAACTACTTGACTGAAAGCCTGCAGGGCAGAGAAACTTAAAACTAAAGTGTTGGGAGCCCCTGCCAATTACAGATCAATCCAAAATGAAGATAAAGTATCTCTGAAACTAGAAGTCACTGGGAAAATGTGATTTGATTCAGAAAAAAATCTGATTTACACGCATCTCTTTTGGAACACACCACTTGTTTAAACAGTGTTCCGCCTGCCTGCCTGTCTTGAATCTAGTGCGCTCGTCTCCCACATCTTCATCCCCAAACTGCAGGCTTGGGGTTCCCCTCTGTGAACAGTGACTGCACAATAACCCCAGGAAAGGGTGTCTTTGGGAAAGTGTTCTTGTGGCCGAGCAGAGCTTAGGCAATTGATGCAGAGATACAGCCCATAATGGATGAACTATACAGTAACAATTTGCAGATAAAAATAATAGAAGCTAAAGTGTACTTTACATGATAAAAGAAAGATGAAAGAGGACGAGAGTCTGTTATATCTGAGATGGTTACAAGAGTCCTGCTTTGTGAAGTAGGCTCTGTTGAAAAGATTGATGCAATGGGGAGTGACCTTGGCTTGGAGCAGGAGCTGGTGATGTATGTATGCGCATCCCTCTGCTAAATGGACCCAGATTTGTAGCACTAATATACATGGGAGCCCAGAACCAAACTCACTACGGCAATAAATCAACAGCCACTTTGGGTGTCATTTCTGGTTTATATTCCACTATTGTTCTATCACTTAAATTCATGTCACTATCATCTTTTCATCTGGAACAGTTTTATATAATTTTCCAGTGGAGTTACCTGACAAATCCTATCAAATTAACAAGCTACATTAACAATATTGACTGACTACGGCTTCAGGAGTTGCAGGGCTGTAGAACAAAATTTTAAAACCATGTCTCTCTGATGATGATCTTTCCCCCTCCCTTTCTGAGAAAGGAATGTGGGGCAGGGTTTAGTCCACATAAGAGATCTGCACATTTATTTTGCTCTGCTCGTTTTGACTTTTATAAATGTCAAAACAAGAAGCAGAAGGGGAAAAAAACACTACCAACAACCACGGTCTAAGTACTTTTCTTCTTTCAGGGAACTATAGAAATGTCCAGATCTTTAACATTTAATGACCAAATTGGAGGGAAGAGTGTAACTGGGTAATCTATTTTAAGTGAAATGTAATAAAATTGGTCTCCTGATACATTCTCGCCCTCCTGAAATCATCTAGACCTGAACGTCCAGAGTCAATTGGGCTTATGACGTTATGCCTAATTAAAATACGGTGTTCCTGAAATATGTCTAATGACAAATTCCAGTGTTCGATTAATAGAAAATACCAATTGTTCGTCTTTTCCAAAGACCACACGGTAATGACCAGGGTTAAGCAACTGAACTGCAGTGTCTCCTTCAGACAGCAGACGAGACTCTTCCATAGTCTGTCCAGTCTCCTGCCTTTGTCTGACTGCTATTTGGGATTTCTTTATTCATAAAGTAAAATAGAGATGAATGGAGTGTGTGGCAGAACTAATCACTAGGATTTTGTTTGTTTTCTTTTTTAATTTGGTCTGACTGTGGTCATTGTGTTCTTTTGATTTTTGTTTTTTTAATTTAGCTATTTCTTTTATCTGCCTTATCTTATGGCCTACTAAGTTTTCTCACATTATATTTTAAAATTTCTAAGTGTGATCCGTAGGATGACATATGTTAATTCTGGTTGTCTTTTCTGTTTCAGTATGAACTCTTGATTGTTTTAATTATTTCTTATATTTTTACTTTGATTTGCTTTTTTTCACTTTGAGCCTGACCTTTAAACTGTGGCCTAAAAATTAATTAGTTTTAAGATTCCATCTGGGGTCGACTCTGGAAGGATATTGAAGGGTTTTGTTTCACTTCATGGACAGATTCCTCGATTTTCAGTAAAAGGAAAGAGAGCATCTAGCCAAAACCTTTGTGTCAGGCTGGGCACCTTCTGCTTGGTGATACCAGGAGAGCAATTGATGTGCGTTTCTGCAGTTATCCCAGGACACCCTCGATCCCTGGCGTTACCTTGGTTCTCCTAACACCTTTGCTCCCAGTCACTGCACAGTGTGTTATGTCTTTCACAGCTCTGAAAATGAAACCTGAAGTCCCTATAGTTAATGTTCTGGATTCCTGTTAGAAAGTCTTTGTTACATAAAGTGCACACCCAGTGCTGTCTCTCCATCGGTGGAGAAGCACCGCCTGAAGCCAGGCTCCAAGACTTGAACTTGGAATGTTTAATGTGAAGGATCCTTTGATCTTCCTGTGACTTCCTTTAAATACAGTGTGGATAATTATTTAGTGTCAGAGAATTATTTAGTAAGAGAGAGAGATTTTTCCTATTTTTAGTGTGCAAGATTTTTCCAGATCACAAACTCTTCATTGGTAGCCTAGGTATTTAGGCATAGGTGATGTTACAGCTTTATCTGTCCAACCCAGATCTTCTAAAGCAAAACAAAACAAAACAGAGACCACTGATCAAAATTGTTTAAATGAACTTTATCTCATAGTAACTATATTTCATTAACAAAATGTAGATAAACTCTATATTGTATCTGTGTTATATCTAAGGAGGTAAGCTTCTTAATACCTTTTTATATGGTTTTTGATTGTTCCCCCTCCCCCACTCCAACCCCAGCTCACCCACCCGGGAAACCAGACTGCAACTTCTCTGTGCCATTTGGAGTCTCCTTATGTCTGTCTTGAGAAGCCTATGGCATTCCCCAAAGCCCTAGAAAGAGCTCATGTTCATGCAATTTAGGATTTATAAGACAGGTCAGATGATTACACTGAAATCACTTACACCTTGTACTTCTTGTGGCTTCTTTTTTGTCCTCCCCTTGGCCTTACAGGTATCTCTGGAGACAAAGTAGAGATAGACCCAGTTACGAATCAGAAGGCCAGCACTAAGTTTTGGATTAAGCAGAAACCCATCTCAGTCGATTCTGACCTGCTCTGTGCCTGTGACCTTGCTGAAGAAAAAAGCCCCAGTAAGTAGTCCCTTTTATTTATGTCTCCTTCCGCTCTTC